TCAAATTTGTCTTATCAGTTAGTCAGATGGTGATAAACTACTCTCGTCAATGCAAAGTTTTATCTATCTCCGAAATTGATTTTAAATGATTATCTTACCATTTAAGGTTAGATTTCCCTCCTTTCCTACTGCAAACGCCTATTAGCAGATGAGAATAAAAGGGTAAATAATACCGTACAATATATTATCTTGTATCATATGTTTTAAACATACATGTATAGGAAAAACCGTTAAAACTACCATACATTTGTCATCATACATAAATACATCGGTCACCATACCATACTTGTTTTCGTTACCCCTAGTCATCACCATACATCGCCATACATTCGTGGTCATCATACCTTCATGTTTTCTATTTACCGTCCTTAACAGGAATAAATAATTATAATTTCTTTTATTTAATATAAAATCCTTTTCTAAAAATAAACACTGACGCTAATATCGGTGATAATTTTATCTTAAAACATCCGGTACCCTTACTGGTGTGATTGCTTTATTTCTCAGATAAAAATGACTTTAATAGTTCAAATGTTTAATGAAAGCGTTTTTGAGGGTATGAAAAGTAATCAAAACATATTGATCTTATAAAATTAAAATATTCTAAAATCTGAGTTTTAATAGAGTCCATTCATACCATATAATTTTTTTTTACAGTATACATTATCAAAAAAAATTCAAATAAAATAAAACTATTTATTTATATAAATTCTCAGCGCATAAGAATTACAAAAGGTTGTCAAATTTTATTTTATCCCATAACTTTACCAAATTGGTTCAATTGAAATCGCTTTAGCGAGCTTTTTATCATTTTCATATGCATTGTATTCATCAGAAACATTTCGTTGGTTGTGAGAGTTTTTTCCGTTATTTAATAATTCCAGCCTGGGTGGAAATGGAACGAACTTTTTCTAAAATCAATTTTATGATTTGTTCAATACTATATTGTATAATTTTTTAGTTAAAGATAGTTCTTCTTCTTGAGATACTGACATAAGAAAACAAATAATTCCATGTCGTTCCTCCTAAAAAAAGCCTGCATTTCAAATTGAAAATGTTCTTCATTTAATAGAAATATAAGCATGTTTTGAGGTAGATCACTTGCCCATAGTTTTCTGGTTCTATTTCAAATTTGATTAATATTGTGATAAAGTCTTAATTCTATTAATCTTGGGTCTTGTTTTCCATAATGCATTAATACTTTTTGAATCAGATATCTTGAAAAATTAACGTTTTTGTAATCAAATTTCTAACAAACTTTTTGATTGATGAACGTGGGTTTCAATCTTATACCATGAAAGAAAGATTAAATTGATAAATTAATCACTTAGTTTTAGCATGCAGATCTCTTGCAATATATTGCATACACAGTGAAATTCGATAAACCGGATCTTTGATAAACTGGATTTGAGCTTAAACCGGACTTTTTTGCTGGAACCAAATCACGTATGTTAAAATAGTTTTGATATACCGGATATTTTTAGTGGAACCGATAGATCCAGTTTAATGAATTTCACTGTGTAATACCAAATTAAATGGAGATCACATAAATTTAAAAATGCTAATTTAGTTATTAGCTTGAAGGTGTACAAAAGAAAATTGTGACATTATTTTTTTATTTGAAATAGAATGTTGGATTGATAGTTGAATAAAGTTTGTGGGTTATTTATTTTTATTTCAGCTTCACTATTGACTATTTATATAAGAAAATAGAAGATCTAAGATTTGACTATTATCTTTTTAAATTAATCAAATAACTGATTCACTTTAACTATATCTTTGTTCATATTGAGTTTTTTTAGTATTACATTATTAATTAATTCATTTAATAATTTCTAAAAAGATGTTTCAAAGCTTAGTAAACTGCTTGATAAATTAATGATATAAGGGTCACATATTTACCAAAACAAAAAAATTGTATATTCTTCTAAAAGTCTTCTTTTTGGTTAACTTTAGCATTTTATTCAAACAAGCAATTTAGACTGTAACATCTTTTCCTTCCCTTATAATATTTATAAAATTTACATTTTTTTTAGTGAAAGAAAAAATCTGAAATTTTGCTGTATTATGGTAGTTTACTAAATTCATATTTATTTTGATGATTTTGCTTATCTTTTTCTAAATTTAGTTAGTTTTCACCTTTTTTTCAAATAATAATAAATATACTCTATTAGCCTTTAAAGGCTTCAGTAATGGCCTTATGATCTATTGGACTATTGGACTATTAGACTTAGTCCAATCCAATTCCAAATTTTATTGAAATATTAGACTTATATTTAGATCTATCTAAATAAAATTTTTATAATTTAATACTAAAATTTGCTTTTATATTATAAATTCATTATTTATTATTATTTATTATAATAATATGTATATTATTTATACTAATATTAAACTATTTATTTATTATTTAATTATTATTATTCATAAGTTTTTTAAATAGTTAGGTATTTCTAAATTTTTAACAAAAATATCTTGAAGTTTCTATTTTACATTTTTATTTATAGTAGAATAAGGTAAATTAAAAATATTATTTAAAGAAATATTTTTTTCTTTTTCATTTTTATTATAATTAATATCAGTATTTTCTAAATCTGAATCATTTTTTAATATATTAATCTATCTTGAAACTATAATTTGCCAATCACTTACTGTTTATATATTATTTCTGTATCAGATAATTCATTATCTGATATATTAGATGTATATTCAATATAAAGCTCTGAACGGTTCAGTTCAGTCTGGATTAGATGCCAATCCGTATTCGAACTGAAAATTTCAGTTCGGTTCAGTTCAGATTTTTTTCAGTTTAGATTAGAATTATAATCTGAAAAAAATCTGAACTGAACTGAAAATTTTCAGATCAATTTTTATACAAATCAAAAATGATCTGAATTGAACTGATCTGAAAATTTTCAGATTAATCCAAACTGTTCGGAGTTTTAATTCAATATTATTATTAATTTTAGCTAATATAGATAATGTAATTTTAAACTTATATATTTCTTCATCAATTTTTTTAAAATTTAATTTTTGCTGTATAAAAGTTTGTATTTATGTTATAGCAAGTGCTTTTTTTAGACTAAAAATTTATTAGTATATTATAATTTATAAAAAAAAAAATAAATAAATAAAATTCTTATCCTAATCAATTTTATTATCTTGAATATAACCATCTCATTATAAAAAAATGTCTTTTCAAAGATGCTGTTGTTATTGCAATTAAAAAAATTTATTCTACTATTTGATAAAGTTCCTTTAAATATCTATGTATATAATTCTAAAATTCCAAAATATCTTGATCAAATTGATGAGCAGTGGTATTATTATATAGATATTTTTTTCTATATGCTTCTAATTCAACTAATAATGATGTTAATTCTTCATTAAACTAAACAATATAAGTAACTTATTGATTAAGATGAGAAAAAGAAAGATTTTTAATAATAGAATTAAATTTAATTATACAATATTATAATAGTCGAATGAAATAATATCAGATATTAACTTTCAGATTAATATTAAAATAAATTAGAAATTAACATTCGTCTAAAAGTTAATAAATATATCAGATAAGAACTGATCTTTCTATTGTTATATGATATTTAACTGATAAACCCTGATATGTAACAATAAAAATTAGATAAGTTTCATATTATCATTTAAGATTATCTGATAAGTATCATAAATATCTGATATTCACTAATATAAAAATATCAATTCATAAAACATAAATTTATTTAATTGAAATAAAATAACAAATAAAAAATTATAAAATTTTAAAATATAACGCTTTTATAATAATTGAAAGATAATACTTTAATAAAATATATCATTTTCGTAAAATATATTGCTTCCGTAAAATATATCACTTTGATTAAATCTAATACGTTCATAAAATGTAATGTTTTAATATGCAATGATTTAATCAAATGTATCATTTCAATAAAATGTATTGCTTTCATAAAATATAATGCTTTCATAAAATATATAACTTTAATTAAATATAATACTTTAATAAAATATAATAATTTTATAAAATGTAACATTTTTATAAAATGTATCGCTTTAATTAAATATAATGCTTTAATAAAATATAACACTTCTGTTAAAATATAATGCAAATGTATCACTTTAATTAATAAATATATTGTTTTAGTAAATTGTAAAGATTTAATGAAATATAATGATAAACGTAACATTATATAAATATTAAATCATAATTAAATGTAAAATCTCCTATTTACTAGAATAATTAACATATATTTTTTTGGATTTTTCTATTTTATTTTAAAAATTCTAAAAACAAATTGACATAAAATATTATATATAGAAATAATACAATCTCTTCTATTTTATAGAATTTCAGTTTTCATAACTCAATATTACAAGATTTATCATCATCATCATCTAACTTACAATGGAATCTTATTTTGTAATTTTCAGTTAGCATATACCATCTTACAAAGGCTAAATAATGTATCTTAGAACTATCTTATAAGTAAATTATGTGTTCAAAAAAGAATTGGATTTATCTAAGATATATATCAAAAGTATCATCATCTGAAAAAAGTGAGCCAGGATTTTTGCTGAATTGGTATAATAAGAAGATAACATTAATTCAAATATTTTTGTATCAATTCTTAATTGGCTAAATTGATTGATATATGAAAAATAGGAATAAAAACATTCTAAGTATTATAAATGCATAATAGTGTAATAAAATTCTTATTATATGTGTTATAATAAAAATCAACCAATAATTATTGAATATCCTACTGCATTAATACATTTTTCTTTGATGAGCCTAAAAAAGATCCTGAAAATTATTTAGAGTTAAAAGCTACTCCTTCTTCTATATTAACTAATAATAAATAAAATGCTCAATATTCTTCATTGATATATTCATTGTACATGAAAAGAGTTCTAACTGAATCCTTTAGTTTTAATATTCTAATATTTTCTTTAAAATGTTAATTTTGTTTGATGCAAAATGTTAATTCTTCTAAAACAACATTATGTTGAATAATTTTCATAAGTTCTTATTCAATTTTTCTATGACTGTTATGATATGATTCTAAAAATTTTATTAGGAATTGTTTAGTAAGTATTACAATAAATTTAATAATATTTAGGATTTTATTAACTAATAAACTATTTATTCTCTCTATTGAGTAGTATCAGAATGCATATAATAGCTTATAATCAAATGAGCATTCATATAAATGCAGACATAAGTATAAATTAAGAGATATTTTCTTAGGTCTGTAAGTTTTTTCAATTTCTTTTACCAATGTTATCAAATGCTGATGAGCTTCTATAAGTCTATTTTTTAATAC